CGCCGCCCCCGCGGAGTCGGGCAGCGGGGGAGGGGAAGTTTTGTCGACGGCCCTTCCCTCCGCAGCGGCCGCGGGCCCGCGGGACAGACGTGGGTATGACGGGGGTGGCCCCCCGGCGGAGCCCTCTGCGGTTGCACCGCCTCCGCCGCCACCCCCGTCATACACCCGTCTGTTCAGCAGGAACGAGGACGTCGATCGGCTCAACGTGGAGGAACTCCAGAAGCTCCAAGGTATACACGACCGCAGTACACGCGATCGCTAGTTCCACCGCACCGCCGCACCGGCCGGTAGTAGGTGGAAGGGCGGCGTTGGTGCCCCTGGTGTCTTGTTTTTCGGTTACTTGTAGCTGGGCGTGTCCCTGTGCTGCCTTTGTCTGTGTTTGTTTTTCTTGAAGTAGCATCGGCCGCGCTGACAGGCTCACTAAATAACGTATGACCCGTCGATATGTGCGTGTTTCGTTTGGGACGCGCGCGTGTTGGAGTCTATGTTGACGACGCGTGGTACAACGCTATGTAGTCGTTAACGCCACGTAGTCATCTTTGGCGTGCAGCTTATCGGGAGCGAGGCCCGAACTTTTATATCGTCGGAGTGTCTACGCACAATATGTGTTCCAACGAGGTGCGTTTGAACTCCTCCCTAACCGCAAACCCACCCCATGTGCCGGTGGTCTGTTAGACAATATGACACCGCGGGTAATTAATCTGCTTCTGTAGGGTCGGTTCATCCCCGCCGCCCTTTTCTTGTGCAGGGACAAGCCGATTATTTAGCCTCAAACCCAGCCTATCTGCTGGTGGTCTGATAAACAACTCAACACCCCGCGCAATCAATCCGCTTCTGTTGGATCCGTCAATCCTCGCCGCGCCTGTTGTTGTGGTCTGCAGGACGAGCCGAGTTCTACGAGGCGGAGGACAATGGGGACCAGATGTACCTCACCCAGCTCCAGAAGCACTGCGCTGCGGGACAGACGATCGAGCTGAAGGTGCCTGTGTTCTTGTCGGTGCTGCTATCAATTGTTGTCTCGTCGTCGTTGTTGTTGTTGCGAACGTCAACCAATGGTTGCGCGCGACTATCCCAACCAAACCCTCCCTCCTTCTTCGAATGCCAATCGAGATGCAGACCGGACCATGCCGGTGACGTTTCGTTTTCCACCTCAAAGTTGCGGCCTTGGTGGCACTTCCGAGCAGCAACCTTGATACGGGTTGTTTGGTGCTGACCCCTGTTTCACGGTACCATACCGTATGATAGGTCGGGGCGAAGGTGTTGCTCCTGAAGAACCTGGACTCGTCCAGCCAGCTCGTCAACGGGGCGACGGGAGTCGTGAAGGAGTTCGTAGAGGCGTCCGGACGGAGGCTGCCCATGGTAAACAGGGTGTCTCGTGTCCACGCCACTGTTTTTTTTTTTTTTGTTCCTTTCGTCTTTTCGAGGGATGTGTTGTTTACTTTGCAGTCGCTCATCGTTGTTCGCACGCTACACGGGTAACTGCTGGGTGTGATACGCTAGATACCACCCTTGTTTCTGAGTAAACATGTTGTTAGGTGTCCACGCCAACACCGCTGTTTTTTCCCGCATTCAGCGTCTTTTTGTTTGGTTTTGCGCTCCATCAGTTGTTCACACGCTACGTGGGTAACTTCTGGGTTAACACGCCAGATAACCGGTTTGTTTGAGATGGAAACCTAGCTGCGGAGGTTGGTGCTCGGGCTTGGTCGCCACGCGTTTCATTGAACCTAGAAGTTTGAGGTTAGTGCTCTGCTTTGATAGTTGAACATTCCATTGAAAACTCCGACTTTGAGATCGGTGCCTCAGCTTTGATGGCCAAACGTTTCATTATAACCTCCGAGTGTGAGGTCGGCTACCTCATCTTTGATGGCCAAACGTTCCATTATTACCGCCAAGTTTGAGGTTCGTATCGTGCTATACTTTTTTGGCCGGTCGTTTCAGGTGGAGTTCGACACGATTGAAGGGGGCGGCAAGGTGGTAAGCGTCATCAGCGAGGAGGAGTGGACCGTCAGCCTAGGCGACAGGTCCGTGCACCATGCTTCCGGCGTCCGCCTCTCCTTTGTTTGCTCGTGTTTCCTCGGGCCCTGTCATATCGCGACAAACGCGGAAACTTTGCGGCCCGGCTGTGACGGACACGTAAACACGCTTTCTCAATGGCCGATGTGTTGGTTGTCGTGTCGTGGTGTTTTGTTAACCATCGTGCTAAGCTGTGTCCCACGCCTCCCAGTTTCAATTTTTAGAAGCTAAACTCTGCACCGAAAGAAGCGCATATGAACTGTTAGACAGCCGCGGGAGTGAATCTAAGTGGGAATGAAAGAGTGAATTATCCGGAGGACATCCCGCCATTCATGAAAGGTTGCAGCTCCAACGTTAGTCGCATATCCAGGAGGAGGAGGACAACAACTGAGACGAATGTTTAGGGTATAGGGCTCTCTCGAACGCAAATAGGAATATTGCATCGTGGGAGTAATCGCTGCAGTAATTCAGGTTTTCCTTTCGGCGTTTCCGCTTGCTGATCGTGTTTGCCTTGAAGCACCCACTTCTCCTGTACCAGCGTTCGCTTGAGAAGCTTCACCTTTTTCTAGCGCCCCCCTCCCCTCTGGGCGGGAAGTGATACAGAAAGGATAGGCGGGATAAGAATGGCGTATTTGTGCCACGTTGGGAAAGAAGGACAAGGGAACGATTGGCCATTGGCAATCAGTCCTGTGGGGAACAATATTCCGTCCTCTCTAGGACGCGAGGTCAAAATGGTAAAACAACTCAGGCTTGTAGAATACGACTAACGCCCCCTCGACGTACCACCGACTCGGGGTTCTCTCGTCCTTCCTCTTGTCGTCCCTCGTCTCATGGCGTCTGTGGTTGTGTCGTTGCTTCGTTAACGCAGGGAGATGGCGCGCCGAGTCCAGCTGCCACTTCGGCTTGCTTGGGCGTTGTCCGTGCACAAATCACAGGTACGGGAAGCATTTTTATTGTTGGTCCGCTTGCCGCTTGTCGCGTGTGGAGGTTTCCGGGGATAGCACAGGGGCGTCGCGAACCTCGCACGTGCACTGACTTCCTAGGGGTATAACTCCAGCGTTGGCGGCGGAGTTTCCGTGTGTGTACCCTTTCTCTCCCCCCTCCCCTTCTGCATCACAACATTTTCCCTGAACGCATACATGTCTCTGGCTGTGGGTGTGTTTTTGTTTTTTTGGATGGGGTGTCACCGAATCTCTGCTTCTCAAGATCGTGCGCCAGCCGTCCCTCCAGTAGCTACACGAGCATCGACACGAACAAGCCCTCGAGTGTATTTTTTTTTGTTACCGTGCATCTCCTCCATTTATGTATCACCCCCACCCCTATCGCTCTTCCGCCCGACAATTCTCCGGCCTGTTGTGCTACCCTCTATCGGGGTGCTCTATGGTGCTGCCATGGATTGGTTCAGGGTATGACTATTGCCCACGTGATGGTATCCACTCGGGGCATGTTCGAGTTCGGCCAGGTGCGTCGAGTGCGAATGCAGCTCCATATGTCTCCCCTAACACAAGCAAACATTCGAAAAAATACTCACCTTGCTCTGTGGTTACTTATAATGACATTACCATCGACGCAAGCTACGTACGCTGTGACATACATCGCCTCCGCACGAACGAGTTATCCCAGGTGGGGATATCGCCTTGTTCACAGTGGCGTTCGGTACGACGAAAACGGGAACAGAGCTTAACGAACACACCCTGGTGTAACGCGTTCAGGTGTTCAAAAATATGAATACAATTACGTCCCTTGCCTTGTATGCGGCCGGCAAGTTGGCATCTTTCCGTGCATAGCAAACAAAATCGACGGAAGGAGTCCAAAGTTTTGTAGCGTTGCGACGGCAGTCCTATATGGGCAGCTGTAGTCTCGTGCCGTTTCACTTTTTTCCTTGGCGTTTTGCTCTTTTTGCTCTAGCCCGAGGGTTGGACCACTACAGAAGGAAAGAAGGCGGAGAAAAAGACGCCTGTGTGTGTCCTTCCTCCTGTGTGACCCCTGCCGGTGTGTACCGGAAGTTGAAGAAAGCGACGTCCAGAAAAAAGTGGAATGGCAAAACACGGGGATGAAATCCGCTTTTGCCCGTCGGATATGAAGGCAAGCTTGCCCCCATGTTGCGACGTGTCACCCGTGTGTGCCTCGTGTTGCCAAGCTTCATGGTTGCATGGTGCCAATATCTGTTGCTTGATTCAGTCGTCTCGGCCTCCAAAATAATAAGATCCACAAAATAATTTATTATCCTTGTTTATTGTTTTGAAATTGCGCCGCATTGCCAGGCGTACGTAGCGCTATCGCGGGCGACCACCCTGGATGGGCTCCACCTTGTGGAGTTCCAAAAAGGCGTCGTTAAGGCGCACGAGAGCGTGAAGAAGTTCTACGCCGGTCTTGAGGTGACGGCGTCTGCCTTCCTTGCTTCGTAGATGGGGTTGGCCGCCCCACTTGTTGTGTTTTTCCGCCTCGGTGTTCGCGAGTTGGAGGTTCCTGTTGCGCCATATCGCAGGCTGCGTCATCGCAGGTTGCGTGGCGATGCTCTCTATTTTCGTCTCCTTAGTTTTGGCATGGCGTTGCTTTCGGTTTTTAGTCGATGGCCGCCGGTTTGCACGAATCGATGTTTGTGCTTCCAGGGATTTATATTCTGAGTTTATGCTGCGGAGCTAGTTTTGACTTTTCCGCCGGACGTGCTACCGGAGTTGAGGCTTTCCAGTGTCATGTTATGCCAGTTCTTCTCGAAACTAGCCCATTGTAACGTTCAAAGTATACGAGGACCGTCGATATTAGGTCTCGAAAGCGTAGTTGATAGCATTAGACCAGCTTGGAAATCGATATGAAATCTAGCTTATGCAGCATGAGTTCGCAGTGAACACGAGATGGGTTGAATGAATGTGAAGGCACATGGCGGAATGAATCGCCGCATGGTACCGTCTGCGTGTGACCCAGACTTGCAGCGCATCCAGCCTCCTGGTTTCTTCTTTTTCGCCCGTAGTTGTGATCTCCAAACAGAGTACCTGGCGTTGCTTGTTCCTGGCTGGTCGCTTCTGCCTGCTCGTCCTCTGTGCACGATTAGTCGAGACTCCGCTTGTACGTGCTACGCGCCCAGACTGAAGCTGCCCCTCGTTTTTTGCCGTCACTGCTGCTGCTGCTGCTGCTGCTGCTACTACTACTGCTGCTGCTACTGCTGCTGCTGCTACGGTTGCGGTTGCCGCGCCTACGGCTGTGTACTGCTGTGCCGTACTGGCAACTCTGTCCACGAAGAGGAGAGCTGCCCACGGGGGCTCGAGCAGCGGTGTCACAGCGGCTCCGCGCCAGGGAAAGGTACGAAACAAAAAGTCACAGTTTCGAATCGCAGAGAGTGGGGTCACTGAGATGCAGCCGCAGTCGTTGTCGCCTTGCACGAGCAGACATCCGCTACAGGTTGTTGTTGTTGTTGGAACCAAAGGAGTTTTAACCTTATGAGATTGCACGCTCTTCCTGTGGCAATTTTTTTTTTTGTCTTACTACCTGTTGAACATTCCGTTTTTGCTACGCTCGCACGCCGTGCGGCGCCCGCATGCACCCTCGTCTTTTGAATTGTACGGTACGCGAGATTTTTCTGACCCACGATCATTCAGAAGCGGCTCGTCCCCCCAACCCCAACCGCCAAACCTTCCTTTGGAGGTTTGAGGTTTGGGACTCTGTATTTTGAGGAATAGAAAACACTTCCCTCGACCGTCCTCAAAGACTATGTAGCGTCGTCTGCGATGCGTGCGAGATATCTCAAAGAATCATTCAGACCCCGGGGTCCGGAGCCGCGACCTTGCTACCTTCAGATTTTGGATGCCAAGCGTCTAATATACCGAGCAACCATTTTCCTCCACCCGTTTCCGTGTAATGAATCTCGGACCCGCCAAGAATATTTCTCGAACAAGCTTGCTCTCGACCTGATGAGTCCTTCCTTTGCGCTCCTACGTGCAGGCGGTGCCCAAGCCAGGAGAGTGGATCTCTCGCTCTTCTTCAACTGCGACAGCAGCCTCACGTTCGTCGACAGCGGCATCTCGTTCGTCGACAGCAGCCTCTTCGGCATGGACAGGGACATCGGCCTCTCGTTCGGCGACAACGGCTTCTTCGACGTCAACAGCAGCCTCTTCGACTTCGACAGCGGCCTCTCGGCAGTACGCCTCGACCACGGTTGGCGGCGCGTCGCCCTCTGGGCGGGGCCCCGCGGCTGCTATCGGAGGGCACACACCCGGAGGCGGCGGTGGTCGCGGAGCGGCGACGGGAATGTCGCCCGCAGCGCGGGCGCGAATGGAAGAGAGCAGGTGTGTGTCCTCTCATGTCTTATTTCGGTAGAGACACCCACCGGGACAAGTACATTGAATTTGTCGCACACCGCCTTCGCCAACGGTAGGAGCCCCTTCCTTGCTCCATCGCAGAGAATTACCGGATCTATCTCTCTTGCCACATTCATTCATTCCGCTTTCTCTGAAGTTGTACGGGCCGGAAGAAGCTGTGCGGTCAGGGGGGACACCACGAAGCTACACTTTTTTTTGCCGTACATGTACAAGTTTCGTCTCCCGCCCCGTTGTCTAGAATGACTTGTCCAAATCCAACCACGATTCCGTCTTTATTGGTCTATTTTGTCGTCCGACAAGAAACTGCTCAAAGGTGACCTCCAATGGGCCCTGGCTGTCAATGGCATTCTAGTGCTTCCCGTCACGATGGCGATTCGTGGAACCGCAGGGATACCGCATTGTGACCAGAACCTTCCGCACTCGGGTTCTTGACACTTCACATGAACAACCAACCCGTAGCTTTTTCCGAATTTCACTTGTGTTTCGTCCTACACAGCCGATTTGGTTACACATTGCATCACACGTTCATTTGGTATCAGCGTCACGTACAAGCTGAGATATCGAGCTCCTTTCTCACTTTGGAGACTCGGAAGTACTTCGCGCACCCCTACTGCTGTACCGTGCGGTCACGCAGGAGGCGCGCACTGGAAAAGCTGGCCGCAAAGAAGCGGGCGAAGGCTCTCGAGACTGCCTCTTGCGCGGAAGATGCTTGGGTTATAGAGTAATGGGGGGTGCCAGTGGGGTTTCTTTTTACTAGAGGACGCACCCGAGTTCCGAGTTGGGGTGTGTGGGCCTGCCCTTCGACTGGGTTTATCGCCGTGGGTCAAAAGGCTCTAGCAGTGGGGCTCTCGGTTTGCTCAGCTTCCCTGTTGTTGCAGTAGAATTTTCACGACAGCTTGAACCTGGCGGCTTGATTTCTCGAGTGTCTTTGCAAATCATGTCCATAGTTTGGTGTGTCGGTGTGGTATTGATGGTGTCGGACAATTCGGTATTGGGCGAGACAGCAGTATACATGCGGGCTACTGCTGTACGATGTCCGCGGGAGTGCTCGCGTTTGAAAATCGTTTGTTGGTATTGTTTGTCCCGAAGTCAAACCGTAGCTTGTGTGATGAAACGGTAGGGAATTCCGTCAAGTGGTTGTTGTTGTAGGCATCATTTTCCTTGCAACCCCACCCCTTTCAGTGCTGAATAGTCCCAAGGATGCGTGTACTGCTGTAGGGTGTGTTATCCCTGGTAGATCGGCACCGAGCGTCCGCCATATTATTAGAATGCGCGCTGCCAGTACTTCGGGATTTTGCTTCCGGATTTGGGGTGCTTTCTTCAATATTGATGAATATTCAATGATATTCTAACGTCACTCTTGACGAAGCCCGACTCGCTCCGTGCGTGAGAATTCCTCTTCCTCGAGGATTCCTCCGTCATGAGCACAACGGCGACCGCCATATTCCTCATTTGGCGGAGAGCGCATGCGTACATACGCACGGCGCACTTACCACGGCACACGCACGTCTTCGTTGGGTATGGTACGTCCTTCCGTCTGTTATCGAATAAATGCGATGACCCAACATCTCGCCTCTCACAATAGTATAGTATCGCATGTACGTCAACGACGGCGGCGGCGTCTCGGTGAAATAATGCTAGCTCTTGACTTCAAAGCCCCCAAAAAAATACTCGAAACACCCATTATATATGTTTCATTTTACGCATCCCGATATCATCAGTGGGGCGAAAAACGGGGAATGCCCAAGCGAAGGATAGTACTATTAAACAAAAGTAAAATACAAACACAGAAAGACCACCCATTCGAGATAAGACCACAGTCGAACGGGATGTGTTGAAGTGTTTACAGTAATTGGTGTCTAATTAGGAATATACAGTTGAAAAATTCCCATCAGTGATGCCAGCAGGTGCTCATCACAAAATCACTGTATAGGTGCATACCACAAGACATCTCCCGTGTTTTCTATCTACGGGGTCAACGACAAAAATATCGGGGAGAAACCCTCTTATTACTATTCCAACCCATTAGATTAGCCCGCATACTGGTCGTCACGCCAATATAAACAAGGCAAGTTCTCAAATGTACCCAAAGGTTCCGCGGTAGTCCGAGAAAAAGCGAAAACCAATGGGTGGGTGGGGGCAACAAGGAATACATGCTGCCAAGAGCACGCGATAAGGGTCCAACGATGACCCAACAGCGGTAGAAGCATGTATGTCGCGATGTCACTCGTTGATGTACAACAACGTGGACAACACACGCCTGAAGAAGGGCAAGGCTCGACCAGCCTCATGTCGACCTTGCAAACAACCGTTTGAACGGCGATACGACAGGGCTAGGGTTCACCACGAAACGCAAAACCATCGAACAAGACTGCATTCAGCGGAACCATTCCCCAGTAAGACTGCAGGTCGAGAAGCGGTGGGAAAAGGCTCGCAAATACACCTAATGAAACAAATCGAACTGTCATACAGCCTCAGCTAGTTGTACGGGGAACACTGTCAGGACATTCCACTTGTTCCATCGTCGCCGCTCTCTCCGAATTCCGCACACGTGCAAAGCAGTGACACGCTAACTTCATCACCCACGCCCCAACCCAACTCCCATCAACACCCGCGGCGTTCTCCTGCTGAATTTGTACGTTTGACTGTTGTTGTACTTGCGGTGTGTTCGAAACCCGTAAAGCGTCAGTTCCATTGTTCTTCCCAACATGTCACTCCGTACGACCGAGCGCACGCATTCATCCCATGCACCCAGCAAGACACGGAAGAACCAACGTATTCGCAGCAAAGAGAGGCATGTGAGGGTGAAATACCTTCCTCCTGTATGCAAACATACATATGACAGAAAGTTGCACCCGGGAGGGAGCGGGGCCAAGCTTTTACTCGTAAATATCATCACACCTGCTGACAATAAACCGTGAGCACATGGCTGCCATGAGGGGCATCAAATTCTGACACCCCGTTAAGGAATGAGGTGGAGGTGTCTTCACCCACACACGAACCAAGCACAAACTCTTCACCCTTTCCCCTCTCAGACACATCTTGTCTTAGTTCAAAGTCGTTTCTTCCAGATTGGCAATGTAGCCTGGTCGACCTGCTTCATCACTCTGGCAAAGTAAAGGTAACACGAAAGGCTTCAATGACCATTGCTCCGCGTGACACTTGTTGATCAGTGTCAAACACGGGCAGGTGGCCCAGAAAAAGGGCAACAAATTAGGACCAAAACGCTGTGCCACGACGTCAACGAAGGGTATACGTCTAACCCTCTCCCCCGCTCTATCTTCCTCTCTCTTGTTGCTTGAGTCATTTCGCTTCTTACATGTACCACACCATTGCCATTGGAGGCGGCTCCCTGTCTTCCTTGAGGCACTGAAGCATTTCCACTACGGACGCCATGCTGGGGCGTAGGTGACGGGGCTGGCAGAGGCACGCCTGCACCCAACCGCACACCTTTCATGTATTAGCAGGACCGGCGGCGAAACCAGCAGCGGCAAAGGCGGAGGTTAGTTGAAGCCACGCAAGGAGCGGGGCCGGAAAGGGGGGTAGGGAATGGTGATGAGCTTTCTTTCTTGTAAAGGGATGTCTTGTTCGGAAGGACCATCAGCATCATACAGATATGATTACACAAGTATGACCAAAACAACCCTTCACCCATGAGGTTGTCTTCTTGAGTAGCCACCCTCACAAAATAATACACAAACTCTGTAATGACATGCGGAGTTTCCGGGCCTGCAAAGGTTTCTTCCGAATTCAATATTGCCACACTCACAGCGTAGCGGTACGGCACCGACGCCGCGAGGTTCTCCGGCTGCACGATCTGCCTTCCAAATGATCCGTCAAGAAGAGTCCTCACCATCACTTCGAACTGTCGTTCAAATTTAGGGGGTGATCGATCCATGGATTTGTTGTGTACGAGGGGAGAGTTGTCTCATCGTTTCGAAACTTCTTGAAAAGTTGCACCACAACGACGCACACGCCATGCACGCCTAGGTCGCTATCACACTTGAGCATAGGACGAAAAGAAGGCCGATTCTAGAGCACAATTGGCTTGCCAGCGCTCCCACCAGCAACATGTAGTCTTCCCTTGCAGGGAGAGGGATCCAACGTGTGTATGTTTTTCATGTACCCACCATTCGTGTGCAACCGAGATACGAGTGAATAATATAAATCCACACCGCCACAACGAAAAGCGCCAACAGGCAACAAGCGGGCAGCACCTGCGGGACGACCGATGTAGTCAGAATTCAAGTGGGGTCGGGACCCTGCTTAAACCTATATCCTACACACCGGAAATGCCGGTGTCATTGTTGTTTGCACCTGAAAATCGCCCTGGCCCTCTCTCTACCCCGTACCTCTTCTTCCCTACCATTCAAGGTGCATGGAAATACGGTAGTACTCATTCTGGCGGCAAGTATATTTGTTCCAGATTTTAACGAATTGTAGTGCTGCAACAATATATATATCTGCGCTATCGACAACACTGCTGCATTCCAGCCACAAACAAGCCGGTCCTTCGTTGAAGTACCGGCGATAGAATACGTCCACCACGTCCAGTTTTGGGGTCACATCTGGGGTGTGGGTGACTGTTTGTTCTGCAATGCCTGCAAGTAGCTAACGTGGTTTCGACTTCCAATACCTGTAGGCCGAGGACGGCCTGATCGTTGCCTTGGCCGAGATCCGCGAACTCCGCCCTTTCTTCGTCGGAGAGCAAGAACTGAGTAGTCGCGGTAGGGCATCGGAACAGTCGTTGCGTGAATGGTGAATCATAGGGCGGCGGGCAATGAAGACGGCTTGGGGGTGGAAATATATACGCAACAAGCGAGACAAACGCTGAACAATAGAGTCATCCGTCCATCCAGGTGGATCGGGATGACGGCTGTACGTTGTACAACAGCTTTACCGTCCTATGCCATATTCATTCATGAAAAATTCTCATCGGTCGCTACAGAATTGAAAGAGGGCGTGATGCAGGTATCACAGCCGTGAGGAATAGCAGTAGATCTGTGGACAATGCCATGGGGGGTGAACGACAGCGATCTACGATTGGCAATGAACCGCAATCTCCACACCGCCGCTCAAACTCCCCTACCGACTCCGTTATCATACCACTCACGCTGTGGACAAACATGTTGTCCTCCCACAGGTCGGGTTGGATGAAGGTCTCCAGCATGAGCACTCCGAACGAAAAAACGTCGTTCTCCGGCCCGGCCTCCACACCACTCCACACGAGTTCGGGGGGGATGTAGCCCGGCGTCCCCGTCCTCGGTGGCGTCCTTTCCCCTTGCTCTGCAAGACAGAGATCGGGCAGTTATCCACGATTGTAAAGTCGTGTGTCAGTCGCGAATCTTTGCGCCGTGTTCTCTGTGAAGGTTACAGTTTACAACACACGACATGACGGAGGGATTCTCCCCGATATTTTTGTCGTTGACCCAGTAGAGAAGTACAGGGGATGTATTGCAAAATGTAGGTTACCTTTACAGATGTTTTTGTACTTAGCACTAGCTGGGATCACTGATATAAATCATCAGCGTATAGACTTAAACAGACTCGAAATACGTCCAGTACCCAGCCGGTTTTCCTCCACTCACTGAAACTGAAAAGACTCCACAACATCCCGTTCGAATGTGGGTATATCTCGAACGGGTAGTCTTTCTGTGTGTGTATTTAGTTTTCCTAAGAATCTTGGGAGCATCTTCGAGCGTCGTTAGAAAAGCATATCTATTCTTCGGTGCATACTCTTTCCTGGCCGTGACTGTCCCTGTATATTCTCTCGATGTGTAGCTTTTCTGTTGTGGCGATGAATATCGATCGTTCGTACTGACGGGCGTCATAGGAGCTGCTATTTTTGGGCCAGGTAAGCATGGGTAGGAAAACCGAGGGTGTCGTGCCTAGGTCAGTTCAGACGAGAAAACCGTGCCACTCGCTACCGGGTAACGGCTATATGTACCTCAGGTGGAAACCTGCAAAATCGGAAATACCGCTTAGCTAGCGTGATCTCAAGATCACAAGCAACTTTGGTTGCTTCTGCACGGGGCGTTGGAGGGGTAGGAACAAGGCCTGGGACTACTCTGGGCACGGAGACCACAGCCCGGTTCTCGAAAGGCTTCGTGAGTCGTCTGGGCATCGATTGCGCGTGGTTGACGAGGTACATGTTGCTGCTGCTGCTGCTGCTGCCTGACCGTGAACCCGTCATTGTTTCGAGTGGTACAGTCTACTGGTGAGCAGTAACACTCACCGCACGTGAGACCGAAGTCTGCCACCTTCCCAGTGGCGTCGCCATCCTCGTTCACCATGACAATGATGTTGGCGGCCTTGATGTCGCGGTGGACCATGCCCTTGTCGTGGATGTGCTGCAAGCCGCAGGCCGCGTCGTAGATGATGCTGCACAAAACGAATGAGAAGGCCAGACCGAGATAGAAGGCTTTAAAAACATCGAGAGAGTCTATCATCTCTGCTGGCCGCCGTTCATCAGTCTCACCATGGCAGCATGCACAGCCGCACCTTCGTGTACCGCGTGTGCGAAATCACGTCTGAGGTACATAAATCATGGTCGAGAACACCCACTGATGCGCGTCGTGGGTATTTATCTCTACAGTTACCTTGCAAATCGTCGAATGCCAATAGACATGCAAACAAAAATAACATCACCACCACAACAACAACAAAAGCAACAAAAACACCAACGTCGTGCTCCTGGTGACCCTGAACAGCAGAGAGCACCCCATCTCCACAAGCATCCAATGCCAAGCACAATTCAGGTGAACCTCCGAGGGCACCAATCCTGCACTCACCCAACCTTGTTCGGTAGCGAGACGTTGACACTCTCGAGCACGTCAACGAAGTCACAATAGCCAAGTTCCATCAGAATCGGCATAGTCGGCAGAGCACTGTTCAGGGCGAAAACCTTCGGGATATTCGGGTGCATCCCCAGGCTTGGTTCGCATTTCGACAGAAAGAGACGTCGTGGCGAAGGGGGGACAGACAGGGAACGACCGACCCAGTGCGCGGAAGTTCGGTCAAGGGGAGGCGGAGGGAAGCGGAGGGCGGGTCGGGGGAGGGGGTATCAAGGTTGAGAACGATGACTACACGTGGAGGTACAGTGGGTGTCACAGCAGGAGGTGCATACTCACTTAAGTTTTCTGCAGACCAACACCGTTCATAACCAAAGCACATCTTCGTGCCAAAGGGAAACATCCCCGAGAGCAATAGCTGTCGCGGTGCATCCAGGAATCTACGGAGTATGTTCGTAGTTTAGCCCTCCTCTTCTCGACGTGGAGCTCATTCGTGGGCCAACACATCGGGATCAGCAAGACGCTGCTTCCAATAACACATTGATGTACGGGTGACTATAACGGTGACTCTCACGGGGAAACAATTGTTCAAGTGAAGTCCAGCGACACACCTCAAGAAAGCGTCCATTTCGTTCCCCGCGGCGGATCGGTGCTCGTCTCCGGCCTCCTGAGGTTAGGGAGCGAAGGTGATGACAAGGGGAGGGGGCGGAGGGACGGTGAGAAGGGGGGGCATAAGCAAAGGCGCGTGGACTTCACCTTTAGCACTCCCGAGCCCCGGCAAGGGATGAGCTCCTTCGCTGTGCTGCGAGATGAATTATGACGTTTACCCTACCAAGGCCAGCGGCGACAGACGAAAGCGTTTACCCTACCAAGGCCAGCGGCGACTGACGAAAGCGTGGAAGACGAAAAAAGCAAGACGTAGACACTACTCAATCCCTCTAATCCATCCGCCAACCTTACGGCTTTACCTCCGATAGCTCCTTGAGTGCCAACTGCTCTCCCAAAGACGCGTGGAACACGCGGCTCACGCGGCCGTAGTAGCCGGTGCCGATAACCCTCTCCCTGGTCAGGTCGCCGTTCGAGTCAGTCGCCGACAAGTCGAGGTCGCAGTGGCTCGCGATGTAGATGTCGCGGACGGCCGTGGACATCAGCGGTACGTTGGAGAAAATCTCGATCAGTCGGTCCATCCTGGTCGGGGCTAAGTGGGGCTCTGGCTCGTTGACGTTCTCGAGCTGCAGCATGTAGCCGTGGGACGAAGGGGGAATGTGGCCCCCAACATTGCCGTCCCCCTCCTCCTCCCCCACCTCCTTCTCTTCGTCCTCCTTCTCCTCCTCGTGACCCTCCATTGGCCCACAGCCATTCGCGGTGATGGTGGAGAGAGATGACCCCCCTCCGCTTCTACCGGTATAGGCTCCCCGGGCAGCTTGACCGTCACCCGACCCAGAGTACTGCTCAAGGTCCCCGTTCGCCACGAGCCTCTCCGGTCCCCCCTCTCTCTCACCCGTCGTGATGCGTGCCCTATGGAGTGCGTCCTCGAGGACATCGTGATAAACAGAACGACCGTCCAACTCGTCATCGTTGCCGTCGCCGTTGCCATCACAACCACCGTTGCTCTCGCCGTGTTGGCTGTAAACGCAGTTATTGTTGCTGCTGCTCTTGGCGCTGTTGCCGCCGTGGTGCCGCACGTCGAACTCCGACCGCGTGGAGCGCCTCCGCGACTCTTTGCTCATCGCCATCGCTAACGAGATTGTCCCTCTCGATGCCTCCTCTGGGCGGTTCCTTGACACACTCCGGTCGGAGGGTAGAGAACCCCCCTCTGCTACCGCGGCCGCCATCTCCGCCCATTCCAGAGTTCCGCTGTCCGTGTCGTCCGGGTTGTGGTGCGTTCGGGCTGTCATCCACGTGCTGCAGCTCGACCTCTCGGATTCCTGAAGGCAAACCGGCGGAGCGGCGGGGCCCAAGACCGGGGGGAGGGGGGAGCGGAGGTGAAGTACTATATTGCAATAAAAATACGAAGGAAGCGAAGGGCACTAGCCGGGCACATACTGCATGACTGCCCACGATTCGGATCAATCGTGGACGCCTTGTGATGCTGCTTGTACTGCGAGCAGCCCAATCATCGGCTAGGTTGTACCGCGGTCTTGGCCATGTTTGCAGGTACGTGCAACATGTTGTGTGGCGACGACGAACGGGGTATGCTGCCACCAACCGACGCTGAGTGCTCTCGACACTGCTTTACATCAAACACACGGAACGCAGAAAAAAACACCATCCACGCAAAATGCAGAAAAAAATGGTACACAAAGCCCACCGATTCCTTCTCCTCCCCACCCAGCGACGAACGGGGTATGCTGCCACTAACCCTTGACCGGACGCCCCAGCTCCCGGAGTCGACGTCCGACCTCCTAGACTCGAGGTCATCGGCACTCGCCGATAGGAAGTCAGTGGCGCCTGGCTCGATATCGGGGCCCGCAGGGTTGACCCTGTCGTCGTCGCTCCCAGCTTCAAGGTCGGAGCCCTCATCGTCGGAGCGGGCGTCGGCAGTGTTCCTGCGGTCTTGTTCCTTCCATTGGTGTACCTTCCTCGAAACCCACCTCCAGACGACTACCGCCGCGGCGAGGACAACCGCCAAGGTGACCAACTCCTGTCGGGAAATCAGAAAAACATCATCGTGTTGAGGGACGGTGGGAACTGGCCGCCAAAACAACCCTTGTACTCGTGTACGAATGCACGGCTGCAAGCCTTAGGCGGCACTACAGCAACAGCAGTGTACAAGACGTATCTTTGTTTTGGCCGGCACCGACTTTCTCTAGACTATATCCCCAAGTTCAAAGCAAAGTGTGCCCCAGGTGTCTCGCTGACCTGTGTTCGTGATCCCGCTATGTCCGCCGATCTGGTCTGGCGAGACCTACACGGAGGGCCCACGGGCAGCACGTGCGTGCAGTGCAGAAGCAACGGTAAGAACACTGGACGTTGCGCTGCCGGTAACACTGCTGGTGGTTGAAGGTTATGTTGATACAATGCAACGGCTCACCCGCAAAACAAAACAGGCTGATAACGCACTGCTGCTGTAGATTCAAATGCTGCCGGTAGCCGAGGCGACTGAAACTGTAGACTACTGCTCACCGGACCCCTCCCGCGTCTGGTCTCTGCTGCGAACCCCGCAGCGAACGTGTCGATTGCTGAGCGGTGACCGAAACAGAGGAGAGGGAAAGTCACGCCGACGCGAACCCGCCACGGTTATAATTCATCATGATGAGAGACCAGCCGGGTGGGACGGCGGGGCGCGACACAGGCATCACCTGGCGATGAATCATATTATCTCAGGGTGTGTTATGTACCAACCACCAGATACAAAGTGACCCCATGTCTCCACAGCACACTCCCTGTCTCCCTGGCCACCTCTCCCTGTCTCTCGCTGCCCTCTTTGGGCAACACACCCTCCACTCCTGACACCTGATCACTTGATACTTGATACATCCACATGCATACATGCGGCGCAACCTCGGAAACGCGGCGTAACTTACCGGCCAAATCTGCCGATCTCCGATCTGGGATCCGGAGATCCAGAAAAAGCATGTGAGTCGAGGAATCACAATGCGTGCGCTCCTGCTTATTCCCACGGGCATTGTTTACTACTGTGCATTCTTATGGCCTCTTTCGGACGTTCCTTTCACACTCGTGGATGAGACAAACAATATTTGTGCTGAAGAGACGCGCGGCACGGGGCTACTGCTGCATCATGGCGAAAAATCGACACAGTGTGCACCGGTTCAACGGTAGACTGGGACGTATTAAAAAACGTGGAAAAGGATACTTGGTACGTGTAGAGGATAACCTCGCCGACACAGTTCGCGGCAAATCAGACTAACGTACGGGAAGAAGACCGAGGATCAGTGGCTCAACACGCGCTCCTGATACGTGTTAGAGACTTCCTAACTCAGAGCGCTTGTCGGTCTCGCGTCTCGCGGGAAGCAGCAGTTCGAGTGGGATCGTTGTGGGAATTTCGCCGACGATCAACCACTAGACTAATAATGACGCTATCGAGCGTCCGCGCGACCATTGGATGGCTTGTGACATACCCCAGCTCGTTCGGGGTCTAACCTCCTACACACGACGTCGTTTGGCCGACAGTTTTTACCGGGTGCCGAAAGGTTTGGTGCCGCAGCAGGGAATCAATCAAAGGGCGTCAGAGACTGTTGTGTTAAAAAATCGAAGACGTCGAGTTTGAGGCGGGTACACTTGTCGACCCAAACTGTGCTCCGTGCAGAAAGAGTACTAGGGTTGAGTATGCCACACCGCGGGTCTGTGGTCGCTCACTAACAGCGCACCTCGCCGCTGTGTGTGTCGACCCTTCTGCTTCTCAAGCTGCCGACGGACTAGAGAGCGGGACACGGCGCAACGCGTTTCACCGAGTGTTGCTACACGACGACGCGCTGCAACGTGTTCGTTCACGGCAAAACATAGTCTAGTACCCGAGGACACCCTGCATGCCCAGAAAATGAGTGGCTTTGATGGAGCAGCAACATGCCGTCAGACGACCTTCGTCTTGGAACGTGAAGTTATACTGCTGCTGTCTCTCGAAGGGAGCATCGTGCGTGCTGCTGCAGCACTTTCAGCATAATAGCTGCGAGTGGGGGGGCTGCACTGTCTTTTATTGAGAAAAGAGGCACTCAAAAGGCAAACACAGCACAACAAATGTCGATGAAACCCGTATGATTGGACGCAGAGCCAGACATTCAACTCCTTTGTGCCCACCTCAGTAGCTCCTTGATCATTCGCAAGCATGCCTCTCGCTACTCTGATAATCTCCATGCCAATCCCTCGAAAAATCACGCTGGAAGCTGATTTCGCGAAGGGGGTGCTGGTAATTGTGGCGAGAGGCAAACGGGAATTTCTCAGCACGCTCATCCGTTCGTTGGATGTTTTGCCGAACGTTCATATTCGGTAACGACCACAGAAAAGCGCCTCTGAAATCCGGGGATAATCTGAAAGCGACTCGCATTTTAACGCGTACTCTCCGGTACTCGGTAGTTTTCACGGTGGTATGTTAGTGGCTCTTGTCGGCCGCCAGGCCTCCGTTGGTCGTGGGTTATAGGGTAGAGGGTTGGGTCGGCCCTGGCGCGTGACACATCCCGTGAGCGGAGCTAAGGTTCGACATCCAGTCAGAACCAAAGAGCCACCAACAGACCGTAAATAGACCTCCACGTACGTAGACGACAGTACCGCGTTCTCAGGTCTTCTTTTTTTGTTCTACACGCAGGTAGGTATACCCCCCACCGCGCCGTTTGTGGAATGCTGTACTTGCCAACCTCGATTTATATCCAAGCATCCACAGGTACTTTGTACTGTACTTCCAGTGGAAGACCAGCACGCACACAACCAGCAAACCGATACTGTAGACCGAGGCTCTTGGAGATTTCGTGTTTGCGAGTTACAGACTCGCTTCCCAAAGCAACGTAGTGTGTTGTGCCATGAAACATTCGGGAGTTCCCGTTCCATTGATTGTTGCTGATGTGGACGTGTTTTCTGCGCAACGCCCTTTCTGCGCTAAATAGTCCCCAAGTCGCATGTGGCGCGGCGATCAAAAGCTCGTGGTTTGCTTCCGACGATCACATCAATTTTGATAACCCAAGTCTGCGCGCTGTCTTCCAAAAACTTGGCCTCGCCGTCTCCCCTAAGAGTTGAAAAGGTGCCCCGTCCAGTGTCGGTCTAGCGCTGGAAAAATAATTCGGCCTCCTACCGCACCCACTACCGGACGAAAACCTTTTTCGATGGGACTCTCGGGCCCATTTCACTGGTCGTCCTCTTGCAGCACTTCGTGCCGAAGTTAGGAAAACTTCGCACGAACGTACGCTTCCTTGTCAACAAAACAGGCACCGCGGAAGGGCCACAGCCGATACAGCTCGCCTCCTGAAGGACAGGAGCATCAGCAGAGCGATAATAGTGGTTGCTTGTGGCAAAACAATTTTTCCTGGCTGAGAGGCCACACAAAAGGCACTGTGTTGGAACTCTTATTCTGTGGGAAATGTTTTGTAAGTCATAGCAACACTGGATTGGATCACAAACACGGTTATTCCTTTCGTTGTCGTGGGACTCTTCCTTGCGCAATAACCCCTGCACCGCCCCGCCCCCGACCAACAATGCATAACGGCACACGTGGTAGTTCGCACAGGTTGTGTTATTACTCGAATTCAAGGGAAAATGTTACTGTAAATCGTCTCAAACACGGCAGCACAAAACACTGGTATCCCATTCATTGGGAGACCCGCCCTTGCGTTAACCCTCCCCCCCCCTCCCAGCTACACAGTGCTTATAACTGTCTTTGGAAGTGAAAGCACCAGAAAATAAATGAAGTCATACGCAGCTGTCATCCGTACGCCAGGAAGTAAGCACGAGATGCCGAACACCCTTAGCAGATGCAGCGCACCCTTCATGCGACTCGCCGAATACCTCACGGCCCTTCGCGCTTGGTGATGTGAGAGCCTGGTCCGGTGAGAACCCGGCGTGCTCCGTCCCGGCGTTGTAGGGATGCGAGGTCAATGGTCTAACGACTACGGCATGTACGACTATGAGTACACCCCCCTCCCCCTGACCAACAATGTACAACGGCACGCGTACAGCCAATGGATGCGAAAAAGAAGGATATGTCCCGTTAGAGCATGTCATACTCCTCGTCATTTGTCATCTCAGCGGTGGCAGCCGCCTGTGACACAGAAGTACCAGCTCGCTCGCGGGTGCCAGCGGTGGCAGGTGCCCGTGACACAGAAGTATGAGCTCGCTCGCGGGTGCCAGCGGTGCTAGCTGCCTGTGACACAGAAGTATGAGCTCGCTCGCGGGTGCCAGCGGTGCCAGCTGCCTGTGACACGGAAGTACCAGCTCGCTCGCGGGTGCCAGCGGTGGCAGGTGCCCGTGACACAAAAGTATGAGCTCGCTCGCGGGTGCCAGCGGTGCCAGCTGCCTGTGACACGGAAGTACGAGCTCGCTCGCGGGTGCCAGAGGCACCCCCGCCCGGGGACAGTGCTTTCATCGCACTATTACTACTACTACCATCGGCCGTGGGAAACAGCACGCGGACGGCGGATTTGTGCGCCGCCCCCTCCACAGAAGAGTGGTTGGCGGCTGCCGCTACTGCTGCTGCTGCTGCATCCTGGGAGACCCGCTCCCCCGCCGCCGGCGCCGCCGCCGCATCGCCGGGGGCGTCGCCCGTAGCTTTCGCCAACGATCGCGAGAACGCTGCCACCAAACGCCCGGACAATGACGGCGCAAGAGCGGTCCTCTCCGAAGGCAAGCCGTCGGTGGCGGGGACCATTTGGCGTTGTTCGCCATCGGTAGCGGCAGCCCGCTCGACAGGCCCGGAGCTCACGCCCCCCGGTGGTCCAGGGGAAGCACCACCACCCTTCGATACCGCTTTTGACGGGGGCGGAGGAGAAATCTCACTGGATGATGACTCACGCGTTCGCGAGTCGTCGTTCTCAGCCCCCGCCAGAGCTAACCGCACGACCGCACGCCAGGCGTCCTCGCGGTACTCGTCCTTGTCGCTCACGCAGACACGGATCAGCTCCGACACAACGTTCGGTAGACCCTGCTCCAAATCCCCGGAGGGCGAGTCACCATTTAGGCCACCACCACCAGCAGCAGCAGCAGCAGCAGCAGCAGCAGCGTTCAGTGGAGACATGTCCACCGGGACGGCCCTAGGCAAGTCCACAATAACCGAGCCACCACCGCCAGCCAAAGCTGCATCAGATGCAGCGAATTTTCTTCCGGAAGCAGCCGCGACGGCCACGGCGGTTGTGTTGCCCTCACCAACTGCCGCCGCCGACCTGGACCTTGCACGAGCAGGAACAATCGCCGTGGTCGAGTCAGCAGCCGGCGTTCCAGCGGCGAACGCTGTCTTCGTCTTCGTAGACGAGGCGGAGGGCACCACCCCCGCAGCAGCAGGCGACACGCCTACGGCGGAGGTGGCGGGCCTAATGGTGCCGGTTCGGGGGGGGTTCTTGCCGTCACGCGCTGGGGAGGTGAGCGAGTAGGCCTGGAGGCCTTCGTCCGCGGGGTCCCCGTCAGAGAGACGTATTCGACGGTCCAAGTCTCGCAACAGCTCTTGCACCTGCGGAAAGGACCAACAAAATAAAAAAAAGGACCCAGAAAAAAAAGAGGCGGATGGGAGATGCGACGAAACATGCTAATACTCAAAGCTGTCTAACGTGGTTGGTTTGCAACAGTGTCATGCGTGCGTGCTACTACACGAACAAAACAAAAAGCTGCGGGGGGCGAGCAATAAAACCAACCGACGAGCGACCACAAACCTGGACGTGCGTTACGTCCTGACAATAAAACCACATGGCTCTGTTCGAGCCAAGACGCGACATACCCTTGGTCGCATGAGATACAGTACAGTACCACACCTCGTGCAACGAAGTTTCACAGCTCAAGCTCGATTACTACTTCACAACGAAGAGGATGCCAAAACCAAACCACGTGTAATCAAAAAAATCTGGACGAGACAGTTCCAACGCCCCCGTCATCAGCACCGTTATCTACTGTTTCTACTGCCGCGTAGTCGAGAGCTTCGATGATATTCGGTCCAGATGGCGTGGCATCCAACGACCCCACCTGCGGAATGTATGGCGCACACGCTCAACGGCACAACCTACCTGTGCTTCTCCCAGCTGGCTCTCCCTGCACTTGCGAGTGACGTCGCTCCTCACCCGCGCCCCGTCAACCCCGCACTCGAGCATGTTGAAGGCTATCGACGCGAGCTGTGAGAAGACCACGTTGTGCGTCCTGGCGACTGCCTCTCTCCTAGCCTCTCCGTGCAGGTCGTCCCACCGGCTGCTTTGTGGTACACACCAAGAAATAGACGAAAACGGCCGAGCGCGTTGCTGCTGTGAGACGTGTTGGTTCCATGCCAGACAGAAAAAGCCAAAGGCAAAGTCCTAGAGTAGTAACCCAAAGGAAAGACAGAAAAAGACAAGCGGAATTCTTGGTGACACTGAAACTCGTGTCGGTTCCATACCAGACAGCAAAAAACATCTCCACGTCTTCAAGAACAAACCCAGGTTTAGCCTTCGGGTTCCCGCACGGGTATGGCGGTTGCTACGAAGCGCACGCAAGGAACCCGTGAGCACCATGCTTGTTGGGTGTTGACGTGAGAACCATGTTTTTCCGGCTAACCTCTACTGAGAATCCCATCGCAACCACGGAGAGAAACGCGACAAAGAAGACGATGCAAAGATTCCGGTTCAAAGTGTCGCTTCGGCAGCGAACGATTCGGAGGCTAGGTGGGGTGTCCCTTGTCTGCTCTTCTAGGCCGCCCCACATTCCATACTGGTCTCGTCGGACGCAAGCTTGGGTGCACGGGGGAGGCGTTGGTCGTATTCATATCGGAGGGAGTCAACGGATTGATCCTGGTCTGACGTGCCGAAAATGTTGACAGCTAGCTCGGGTTAGGTGTTCTTGATGTATCGGAGAGAGCATATGGACTGGTGCTGGCGGACATCAGCAGGGAATTAGGAAGCACACACTAGCAACGATCTCGATCGACCAAAAGCGTACTGCTAAGCTCAAGCAAGACGAACATAATTGCTGCACGCGCGAAAGCTCACGCATGCGCACGAGTTGCCATGTTCGGGATGGTGTGAGCGAGCCTAAGGAAGGATGAGGATTCACCCCATGCATTGGCATCCAGCTCCAGCTGTTTACCTGGCGTTGGCAGGACCCTCCTGGAGCTGCTCCTTGACACCAAGCATCAGCGCCTCGTGCCAGAACCTATCGATCGCATCATCCACACACGGAAAACATCGTTCGCAGCAACAACGAACAAGCCATGACAGCAACAACATCAGCGGTAGCAATACGTGGTGTTCTTGCGCGTAGAAGCGTTCGCCATATCAGTGGCGTTGCGCAATATCACACCAGAACCCTGTCCGCCGAGCTTCATTCGAGGACCAAACTCTGAAAAACTTTTGGGTGACCGCAAGACAATTTCAGAACGTCGAGACCCTACCGCAAAGCACTGGCAACCGCTCAAAAAGCAAGTGGGAAAAAAATGAAACAAAATGCAACACAGGCGGCAAGCCGAAACGTGGACCGCCCTCGCGAGGATGCTAAAGCGACCCATGTGAAAAGAGAGGGAGGGGTTCGTAACCTTAACCCTAACCCTACCCCTAACCCTAACCTAACCCTAACCCTAACCCTAACCCCAACCCTAACCCCAACCCTAACCCCTAAGTTGATAACCCTAACCAAAACCCTAACCCCAACCCTAACCCCAACCCTAACCCCTAAGTTGAAAACCCTAACCCTAACCCTAACCCTAACCCAAAACCCGTCACGCCCACTAAAATATGTTCGAGTATGTTACTGCCAAAATCTACCTCACCGTGGGTGCTTCCACAGGGGATGATCTCGGAGCTCCCTCAGCAGATACGTCCGGCCCTGTCGCCCACCTCCACTCTTGGAGTCCACCCCCCCGCCCTCGCCTCCTTTCGCGGAGCCCCCTCCCTTCTCGGTCTTGAAGAACGTGTTGGCCAAGATCATCGCCTGGATGGTCATGAACGAAATCGGCGGCGTTGTGCAACAGTTCGGGTTTCGCAAAAAAACAACACGGAAGTTTTCAAGGTGCGGGGGAGACCGAACGGCTGGAGTAGAATAGTACAATTCAGCCGTACGACAGCGACCACCCCCTTCTCGAGAGCACAACGCTATTAAGCCCTACAAACTAATACATTTTGTTGCACCGCTCTTCTATACGAACGTGAGTTTCAGAGGCTGAACCCTTCAGGCTTTAAAAACGCTCTTCAATAGGAGCACAAGTGTGAGTAGCATAAATTTCAGAGGCTGAACCTTTCAGGCTTGAAAATTTAAGGCACATGCGCCCAGACCTGTTCTGCTTAGCCACGCCAGACCGACGTGCTTTCTCTCGCTCACCTGTCGCGCGCTCCGGATATCAAGGTACCCTTCCATGCCGTTCCCAGCCGCCGTGCCCCCCCCCTCCCCACGGTTATCGAACAGCCCCCCCGCGCCTTGCCCGCGGCTGGCCGCGGTCGTTCTCCCCCTGCCGAGGGCCAACTCCACCGTCTCCGCCAGCGCTCCCTGGGCGGTCGCCCTTTGGGCAGGATAGTGGCCGCCGCCGCCGCCGCTGCCGCCGCCGGGAGTGGAGAAGGGTGTCTGGTCGAACCACCCGGGGGTGGCCATGTTTCCTCCACCACTGCCGCCTGCTTGGGTACCTATTGTGTTGTCGGGGAAAAGAAGACAGGAAAGAGGCGGGGTGTGACCGGGGCACGTGTTGTGAGGGAGGGAGGGAGGGAGGGAGGGAGGGAGGGAGGGAGAGCTGCTTGGCCCATCCAGGCAACCATTCAAACAAGACGTCTGCAAAGGACTGACACCCGATACATACATCATACCACAGAGACAAAAGAGAAGCGAGCGATGCATGCTCCCTCGTAGGCGCTAACAGCATCAGTACAAGAAATAAGCCACCGAAACACTTGAGCATGAACGTTCCCAGTTAGGATAACAAGTGGGATCGCTCGAAGTCACCGCTGGCCATGTATAAAAACTGTTCAGCCCAACCCAAATATCGTCGTCTTCCGTACGCAGCGCTGCGAGGTAAATAGGCACAAACCAGAACCTAAACTTCCAGGGTCCTTAATGCAAAAGCGAGAACGAAAGAGAGAGAGAGAAAAAGACAGAGAGAGACGAGAGACAGAGAGAGAAATAAAAGACCGAGCGCCAGCAAAACCTGACCCACCTCGCACACCACTAGCGCCCATGCTGACGGACGATGTCGCCCCTCCCTTCCCGCCCGGGCCACCACCCCTCACGTCGCTCCACCCCGCAGCACCTCGACCCCCCCCCCCCCAACCCCGGCCCGGACCACCGCCGCCGCTGCTGCTATTGCCCCGCATGATCGACGCGGCGAACTCGAAAAGGTTAGCTCCAGTGCTCTTCTGCTGCCGGGCGCCGTTCCTGCCGGATACCGAGCTGTGCCTACCCCCCGGCTTGATGACGTGCGGGGTGGAGGGGACCGGGGTAGCGACGGCGGTCGCGGAAGCTGGCGCCGCGGCGGCGGCGGCGGCGGCGGCGGCGGCGGGCGGCTTTCCGTGGATGACTCGGGAGGCCGGGCCCAGGCGCATGCCCGGCGGCAGTCTGTCCGAGGTCGCCGCGGTGCCGAGGCTGAAGCAGGACCTGGGGGAGCCACCGCCGCCGTCGCCGTCCGTGTCTTCGGGGGAGGAGGACAAGGACGTAGCTTCGGACGAGACGCTGTCCGCCCTTTCTTCTTCGTCTTCCTCCGATGCTGCTGCTGCTGCTGCTGCTGCTGCTGCTGGAGCATCCAAAACTTCGATAGCGTCGCCCTCGCCCTTGCTGTAGCTTCCTCCGCCGGCCTCCTGTTGATTCCATGGGGTCACGTACACCCGGGGGGGGGGGGGGTCA